AGGGCACCCTTGTCTGCCTGTGTGAATGTGGTCTCTCGTATTCTTTTTGAACTGGGCACCTTTCTGTGACACCGCTAGCAGGACAGTTGATAGCTTTTGATCGCTTGGAGCACCGCCAGTAAGTGAAGTTGCCCTTGGATACCTTTGAAAAATATATTAGCATATCATATATATTTTCAAAAACAGTCAAATTTTAGGGCAACATAGTTATCTCTATTATCTCTATAACATCAGCCGGTTAGGATAACTTTGTTTGTTTATTATATATCAAGAGTGCATAATAGAGATCTATTATGCACTCTTGTTATATATGCATGCCCATTGTACCTCCTGACTTCTACACATCACTATTATTTTTTAACACCCACGTTATACACACGCGCGTGCACGCACACAAGGTTCAAGTCAAAAACAAACCTTTCTGGTGTACTCGTATCCGTCGCTGCTCACAAGCTTAGCTCTGGCGCGCTGGGAGCCCTGCTCCACTAAGGTAAATGTAACCGCTGTGTCTGGCAAAACTGAGTCTAGCAATTCAGGCTCTTGTAGAGAACTAAAAAATACATGTGAGAAAATATTCAAAACTTCACCTAGTGTGAGAGGAATGATTAGACATTTGAAATTCGCATAACAGCCCAGAATTCGATAAAAAAAAAGTATTTAATGTATTTACTCTTCAACTACTTCTGGTTCGTCTTCGACGTCTCTTCGTGTTACTTCGAAGCTGGCAGTAGGTTCTGACGTTCAGGTGGATTCTCAACTGCTGCATTGCTGGTACTCGCGATCGCAGACACGTTTAGAACGGTGTATGTAGCATCTCTACCGGATGAGAGCTCAAGATGCGTTGAATCGACTGGTGCACTGAATTAAGACAACACAATTGAACAAATAAGCTTGCGTGCATGATGTTTAAACAGTGTGCACCGTGAAGCATTGAAGCATGTACTTCTCTATATATACACAAATATATAGGTGTCTATATCACTTCTTTTTGAATTGACGAGGTAGCTGAATATTTGAGATATTATTAGTATGGTTTTTTACACACCTGTTATTACACATCTTGCACTTCGAACAGATGAAGGGGATGTCTGTGCCTTCTTTCACCATTGCGCGGTAGACGTCCAGCGAAATGCCTGGAATAAACATGACATATATCGTGATTCAGGGCAATAGAACTTAGAGGCATATTTTTGCACAATATGAATTATTTACACCTTAATTACGCATATAAATTATACTACGTTAATAATAATACTAAGAAATAATAGAAATATATACATATTTATACATACCGGTATTGCATATTCTATGCTGCCACGAGCTGCATATATCACATGAGAGAGCATGCTGTCTAGAAGAAACTTCCCGTGAACACTCTACGCAGTCGTTGATACCCATGGTTGTATTCTTGTAATGTAATGTTCTTGTAAATGAGAATATGTAGTATATATACCCATTTTTCGCTTAGATCAAATGCTACTTCATAGAGTATGCTCATTGGCTAAAATCGGGCAGCATGTCGTGTGGTGTGCGTCACTTTACGCTCTATTTTCTACGCGTTAAGAAAGTTCTCTCCTCCCCCCATATCTCTACGACCTTTACTCCTATACATTTGCCCTCCCAATACCTTTTCACTCTCTATATATATTCTTCCACCTCCTCTTCCTCATTCTACTCTTCTTCTCTTCCTACTTCTCCCCCTCCTCTCCCTCCTACTTTTCTTCCTCCCCTCTTACTTCTCCTCTTCCTATTGCTCCCTGCAACACGACTATAATCACTTCTACATTCGCCCTCTGCGAACACATTTTTCTCCTCACTCCCTATATCTTCTCCTGCCGCAGCCGCCGCCTCCTCCTCCTCCTCCTCCTCCTCCTCCTCCTTATCCTACACCTCCATGCGCACCTACTTCTCATCTGACATTTTTACAAACTCAACCACCTGCACGAAATGGGATCGAGTAAGTGGCTATTATATTTTTGTGAGTTTTATTATGCTGCATACGATGATGCGACAAAATCCCAATATCTATAGGCTAACATTACCCTAGTTGCAAGCGAGTAGAATTGAGACAGTTAATGATTCTTTCTTGTATTTCTGAACTTCGAAATCGTTTACATTGTTTTTATTTAAAATACTGATCACTATTGCTGCACGAGCACTGATCTCCCGGCTTATACTAACAGACTAACAGTTAGTGTATATGGAGACAGAGCACGTATATCATATGATGTGATAGAGATCAGTGCGCACCACACACTAGCATCAGCGGTCCAGCACCACACCACCCTAGAACAGATATATATATATATATATATATAAGGTCGCTTATGTGCCGGATAGACCGAGTAACT